TGAACCCCGAGGCCTCGCTGGGCCCTGTAGCGATCCCTGGGGCCGGGTTGGGGGCGCTCCCGCCTGGCTGCGCCCAGAGCTGAGCCTGGAGGCCGGAGCCAGGCCCTGCCTCAGGGGAAGGGCTGAAGCCGCCGTGCTGAGGTGCCCCTCAGGCGGGAGGCAGGCACCCACTGAGGGAGCGGGATGGAGCCGCTCCGCACCCAACCTTACCTCCCCGGGGCCAAACCGCCATGTGCTGGAGCAGGGCCGGAGACAAGATGTGGCTGGGTTCAGGGCCCAGGCCTCAGGCTCGACCTGGGGAACTTCTCCCCAGAAGGTGGCCTGGGCTGTGTCTTGTCTTGTATTTTCCTGTTTAGTGTAAATAAAAGCCGAGGCTTAGGATGAGAGGTGCAAGCCAGCAAGTTTGCTGTGCCAGGGCCTCCCTGGGACTAAGCCACTGCCTGCCTGGAGGTAAATGAGTGGATTCCTAGCCTGTAGGAAATGCTCAGTGGTGGAAGGCAAAGCTCAAAATGTGAAGTTGCGACACGCGTTCAAAACCCGGCCAAACAAGTCCATCAGAAGACCTAACTTAGTGATAAGGAAACGCACTTCATGGGGAAACCAGGGTAAGTATGAAGTCATTCGAGTTTTAACCCTGGGGAGCGGCTCTGAAGGCTGCACTGGGTTGAACTCGATCTTGTTTAAACCACAGAGTCCAGTCAGTTCTCAGTTTTAGTGCAAATTAACTAAATCAAGTAAGCTGACCCCCTTAGGGGAAAACAAAAACAGAAAAACCAAAGAAATCCTAACAAGCTGCCTTTTATTTTTTTTACTGTGACCACTGCCTGAAGAAACCAGTGGTGTGGGCCAGCCTTCACTTCTTAAACAGTGTTTTAAATACGTTGAAACAGATCCATTTCTTAAGGGTCTCTCAATGCACATCAGGGATAAAACCAGTGAAAAACCGAACTGACCCCCCAGGAGCTGAACCAGAGCCCCAGGTCCAGTCCCACCATCAGGGAGCAGCTCACAAGCCATGACCATCCTTGCCCCACACCCTAAAGGTGGTAACATGGAGCTGGGACCCTAAAAACCAGATTGAATTCCCAGTTAATGGGATTAATGGATGAAAGCTCCTGAAGCTGCACCTGCAGCAGAAAAATTCACTCACACGGCAGCGTCTTCCTGATCCCAGTCTGCTTAGGGCTTAATAAATTAAACCCTGAAGACAGACAGCCTGCAGCTGCCATCACATCCATACCCTCCTGGCAGCTCATTTAAATCCACATTTAAAGAAGAATACGTGTGTCTTTTGGATGAAGAGGTATTCAGGAATATTCAGATTCACCTGAACCCAGAGGAACCCATGAAACCTAAAAACCTGCTTGGTTCATCAGCGCAGTGAAACCTCCCCGGCTGCAGAGCAGACGAGCGACGTCCACTGGGATTTGGCCATAAAGGTCACCGTTTTGTTTGAGATTTGCTCTGCTCCGAGCACAGCCACGCAACGAACCACGCTCTGGCAAAGAAACAGCCCGCGTTATTTCCTCGTAACGATTTGACACAGGGTTTTTTTTATTCCTCTCTGCGAATAAAGTTCAGGACGTGGAGGAGCTTTCTGAAGGCGGCCCTCCAGCTGAAGGAGAAATCTGGCTGACCCGCGCTGCTTGGAGATCAAACACTCACGCGTTCAGTATGTGAAGTATGCGCCACACAAAGGGTCCGTGCAAAGCGCCGCGGAGGGATTACGGCAGTGTCTAATCCACTGGTGTGTTTTTTAATGCGGTTTTTCTCCTACAGATAACTCCACCTGAAGAGGAACGAGAGGACCTCCCGAATTCAAAAGCGAAAACAACCAAGAAAATAACTGAAAATGATTCATGTAAATTTTACAGACTCTTCAATCACGTCTTGCACGCCCAGCCAGATTCCTTCCCAGCCACACAAGTACACCAGGTAAATAAGCTTTGCAATTAGCAGCAATTATCTCTGAAGTGATTAATTTTCACAGGCGGCATTTTTTTATGAAACTATCCAAATCGGGTTAGCATATATCCTTGTGGTAGTTATATTAGTTTTCTCTTTTAATGAAATAAAACCCTTGAATAAACAGTTACGTTCCAGTGCTTATAAATATTAATAAAAATCTTGGTCGGCTCTCAGAGGAAAGCCGTTTTTCTAAAAGATTTCTTTGTCCCATACTACATTTAACGAGCTGCTGTACTGTCACTCAAAAGTGCATCGATTACACCTCGAGCGAGGTAATTGCACACAAAACAAATGATACACCCGTATGATTATCACAAGGCTGGATTGTGTTTCCTAGCAGTAATCTCTGCTCCTGGACCTCCTGCGGCGTCGGGCGAATCCACCGTGACAACCTCCGGCGCTGGAGCCGTCCCTCGACGTGGCCGTCGTGAATTCCTCAGCCATCGCCCCCAGAAAGGTATCAAACACGTGTTAAACATGGCACAAAACCCTGCTTGTGAGGAATCCATGCTGGTGCAGGTGGTTTTTTTCTCTGTTTATGTTTGATGCCACAACTGAGGTCAGAGAAGGAGCCCGGCCGCGAGCGCCCGGGACGAGGAGGGAGGGATGGTGGCATCACCCGCACAGGCAGGAGCTCAGCTCTCCCATGGGAATGAATGTCCCTGGACTTACCTATGCAACTGAACCCCAAAAAAAGCTATTCTGGGGGAACATCCCATGCAGGGTTCTTCTAGAATAACTCTGAGTCATGATTAAAAATAGCAGAATGGAAAACACAGGCAAACTCTGGTCTCAGTCCCACACTTGTCAGGCACTTGGGTTTACTGTAAGGCTGCGTCACGTGGATGTTTGAGGTTTTAATCTCCAAGATAATGCCACTTTCAAGGTGAAAACCTTAGGGAGGCCCTTGGAGAGCCCTTGACTTCACCAAGGAGTCTTGGCTATTGGTCTAAACTGATGGCAAGGACATCATCTGTGTCACCAGGTGACCAGCGTGAGCCACGTGCACTCATAAGGCAGACCTGATGAATGCCTATTGCTTTGGAAAGTATTAGCACTTGTCTCCCTTTGACAGAAAACAACGTTAAGATAATTTTAAACATTTCTCGTGGTAAAACAGCAACTTGATTAGAAGCATTTCATAATCCGTTCCCAGCTTTAAAGCTCTATGTACAAAAACCAGTGCAATGCCTTTCGCTCCCGGGAAAACGTTCAAGAAACATTTTCTCAGAGAGCGTAGGCGAATGACCCCTTCCCCATCCGTGCCATAGGTGTTTAGGGTCTCACCCATGGAGCAGAATAAATCAAACCCAGCCCTTCAGCCTAATGCCCGTGTGGTTTTTCTCTCTGCAGGGGCTCGGGCAGCAGGCGCAGGGACGCGGCGCAGAGCGCGATGACAGCCAGGCTGGCGCCTGCGCCGATGCCCATCGCCCC